TTTTTTTTTTTGGGGGGGGGGGGGGGGTGGAGGAATATAAGGGCAGCCTGATTCATTAGGGGTGCACAGGTGGCCCGGGATCTAATGAGTCACATTTTGTTCAGTTCTAACATGCAAAAGGCTCAAAGGGGATATATGTACGTGCTTCAAAAAACACACATTTGTTTTAGATAAGAGTTGTGGGGGTTTTTTTTGTGTGTCATGGCGTTGTTTCTTTTTCAGAAAACGTTTCCATTTAATACCAAAAAGCTAAAAGTGCAACAACACAGTGGCAATGACCATTAACAGCTAACACGTGGATGATAAATTTGCCACAATATTCAGGATGACTTAACACCTTAAAAGTCAAGAGCATTAAATGCTGTTATTTCATGCAACTAAAAGCTGTCATCATCATCTACTTAATAAATAGACACTGACTGTTTCCATCAATTAACTTTCAGAGGACTATTTGTCTGAGTGTGAATGCTACAGCTGGTGTTTCTAATCTGTCTCAGCTATTAACACTGCCCCCCTCTGGCTAGCTGGCTGCCTCATTAGGATGCTGTTTTTGCATCGATCAGCCGGAAATTGAGTAAAAAGAGAAAAGCTATAGCATGGGAGGCGTTTAGCTCTATATTTAATAACAGACACCTCATTGAGAGAAAGTAATCTGTAAAACACACACTTAGATGTAATTAAGCAACAATAACAGTCGTTGGAGTGACAGAACAAACCTCAAACTGCATGATAAATCTGGCCTGGCTTCAGCATCTTTGAACAAAACCCAAAAACATCTCCAAAAATAGCTTGTTTTAACATGCTAGTCAATTCATCACAGGAGCCACAACAATCCAAATTGTACCTGATCTATTAACTGCTCGCCACTGAGCACCGTTTGAACGTTTGACCTTCTAACACAGCTCATGACATTATGTTGACATTTAAAGTAATCCCTCCCACGGTTCTTAATCCCAGTGGCCGTGGACTGCCCTGACCCATCCTCTGAGCTCAAGCCCCTTACGTGCACTCCCCACACACTGACAGAAAAAGGCAGGCAGGCAGACAAACACGACTCTGATACCCAGATAAGTCAACAACACCTCTGCGCTTTAGAAAGCTCATGGGGCTTGAAACAGGCGGCGACCAAAAGGGCTTGCTGATTATCAAACACAGGCTGGAGCATTAAGTCACACACTGAGATTGAATGTGTAACATGATGATAGCCCCCTGTTAGTGCCTCTCATGTGTTAGCATTACATTTGATTTTTCAAAAAATGATTACCCAGCGATTGTTGGTAAAACCCAGTAGTTCATTTAAGACCACTTACAGCTGTAATGAAAGTATTTCCAGAATCCTTAACGACTCTTCTAACATCTGGATGAGAAAATATTCTACCCACTGCATGATAAAAAATATTTTTAACCCATTTCTGCGGCTGGCACTAGCCCAATATGACAGCATTATACTGTATAAATGTAGACTATATACCGATAAAACCTGCACGCAATATAGTCTTTACATTTTGGTTCAGGTGCAATGGCTACCATCTTTGCATTAGGAAAAAGAGGCCCAACCAGATGTTAGACGTGTCTTTAAGGATTCTGGAGATACCTTCCAAACAGCTGTTAGTGCTGTTAGATGAACAGCTGTGTTTTTGGTTTGTTTGTAAAATCAGATGCTTTGTTAGCTCTGTGACTCGAATGTAATGGTAATTATGAAAGTCAATTCTTTAACCTAAAAAAAACCCAACTTAATATGCCAAGCTACTGGAGGAGCCAGGAGAGATACAGTCACTTTGTGCAGATTCTGTGTTGTGACTTTGCCAGATAACAAGAGGAATTATGAATAAGATGTGTCTGGACTTGTGTGACGCATAAAAAGCCTGTGCTGCATGGCAATCTGCGTAATTCACTCTGCAGCTGATCTACACACCAATTTACTCCATCTATACATGAGTCTGAAATTGGCTGTAATGCATGTTCAAGTGGCAGGATGTTTTTTTTTTTTTACTTACGTAATGTAGCTTTCGTTATAAAATCGGTATTTATGTATTTAAGTCTTTTTTCTTTACAATCGTAGAAAGTTTCACTTGTGCAACCGGCCAAAACAGATATATAAAAAAAGTGATGAAATGAGAGGTACAAGATGACAACCCATTTATTTAGTAATACATTCTGCAAACTAGAAATTTTATTCAAACTTCAAAGGCTAAAAAATGAAAGAAAGGAGGGAAAGAAGGGGAGAAAATTTAAGGGGCAGGAAGAGAAATGCATCAATTCACAAGCAAGGAATGCAATTTGTTCAATCGACAACACAAATAGTACAATTTAGTTCAGGGAACAAAGCTTTTTTAAACATTTTCTTTTTTTTTCTGCCATTCCTTTAGAGCTAGAACATAATACAAAATATACAGTTATTGAACTTTGTAAAATCACTCACAGAGGCCTCTGAGAAGCATTTGAATCAACATTGACAATATCTACAGCACTCTAAAGCTATTCTTGAATGTAACCATAAATATAGCAGACATGAATGTATGTATGCACATTTTGAATGCTTACGAGGTTACCATGTTAAAACACTTGCATTTGTTAAAAGTATGACATCATCTGCAGTGAAAAATTAAATAAGCTTTCAAGACTGAGATTCAATGAAGTAGCATGAAAAAAACAAACAAAACAAAAAAGCATACAAACAAGCGATGGTTGAAAAGTTGTACCTTGTGACAACCAGGACAAAGTCACTTTGTTGATAGCTTAAGTACCCTAACATGGGGACAGTTTTTAATCTATAAGAGTGTAATGTCAGCAGCATCACTCCTCATAGTGTTTAGTTGAACAAGTACTTTAGGGGGGCAACATGAGACTGGGTAAGGCAAATCGGTGAGCTTATTTATGAGCTGAAAAAGCTCAGCAAAGTGAGGCTCAGGTCGTCCTGTGAGGGGACAAATAAACCACCACTGCTAAGGGTCACTCAGTAAACGCCACAACCGAGGTACAACAATATGTACAAGAGGGCGCAAGCATTTAAAATCTCTTCAACTTCTGCCAGGTAGTCCTCCGTACAAGAATATACAGGATGCATTCCAGGCAACCAAAGGTAACTCTGTAAATAGCTTTATAATCTTTTTTTTCTACAATAACAATTTTCTGGAAAAAAAGCTGATTATACAGATGATCAGTGCATATGACTATTGTCATTTAGTCCCACATCTCACATTTCTAAAACCCTGAACTCTCGATACAATTCTAGATTTGAGCTAAGTGAGCATCACATAAGTGGACAAATTGGTGAAAATAACACAGGTGAGCATTTGAGGGCATCGTTTGAGAGGTGGTGAGGGGGTCAGCTTATACGACAAGGCCAATAGTGTTCCTAGTCACTAGAAATAAGTTGTCATTTGCAGTAGCCACTTAAATCATTACTTGTTTTCTCAACATCAGCACAATTCAGTCAAATACTGTACATTAGCACAGGCTTATCCCACTCAAATAGATCAGTGTTAAAATCATAAGTTCTAGGGGAGAGCCACAAGAAAACTGCTTTCATTTAAGTCTCCACACATGAACTGCTATGTGAACAGTTTGGATCTACATTACACGAGACAAAAACACTTCCTATAAATGTTATGAGGTATTTCAGTTCTTGAAAATTAAAACAAGAAGAATAGATGCTTGGGGTCAGGTTCTGTTTGGGGATGGGGGACTAAGAGGGATAAAGGTTTCTTTTTTACATAATTAGGTGAAACACCCAGATGTCACAAACCACATCCAAGCCACTGTTAATATCTGCTAACATTCCAGCTACAGCAATTTTGAGTAGTACAAAGCTAATTTCTATAGTTTTCCTTCAGTGGAATAAAGTTGCTTATTGAAATGGGTAAATAACCAGCATCATTTAAGGACCACATCCTGAATTGTTTTAATTTCTGTGGCAATGCAAGACAGTCCAGGGAGGAGGGCATATCAATTAACTCGAGATGCAAAGAAATATTGTTTGTTCCTTATTAAGCTTGAAGGAAATGTTGCTTTAAGAGTCCTCAACACCTACCATGTCTGCAACAAGCAGCCGCAAGCGGAAAACTGTTTGATAAAAGAGCCATTTAGTGCACTTACATAATGTATACAAGCAATGCAGCGCAAAATTAAACAGCTTACAGTACAGTTGAAATAAAAACTAAAGGAAAAAAAAGGCATTTTTGAGCAAACCAAATAAACTCATGTGAAGGGTTTTCATTAGTAGGTATACAAATATTAGTTAGTATTGTGGTATAAATACAGTAATGTAATTTTAAACCAAAAAGATGTAAATTACATTATGTTTCTATGTACTGCTGTTTGTTGCAATTGAGCTTTTTGATAGGAAGGAATATTCAATAAAACGCATTTTCATGCAAAAACTCACAACAAAATAAATTTCCCTACTTGACATGTTAACTGTATTGAGTCAACACAGGAAATCTACGGAGTTATGAGATGTTGTTATTCATGTCATTTCTAGGGCGACTGTTTACCCTATGGAGTTTTCACTGTAAACACATCTTTAATCTTCTATCTATCTTTAAGACCTTACAAACATGTCAGCTTGCGGTCTTATCGTTCTTTACCGGTTCACTTTTTATGCCATGTTACCAGGACAGCAATTGCTGACATACACATTACTGTTCTGCAACGTCAGCAGAAGTGTGATTCACATCACCTCTTGTTTTTGTCCTGTATGTTCATCCTTGTTTTCAAGCTAGTACAGTGTGGACGCAGTCGTTAAAACATTTCTCTACAGCACCACCAGTGGTCAGAAACTCCACAGAATACCTTTAAAAGCTAACAATAAAAGTCTTTCAAAACTCACTCTAACAACTTAACATTTTAACTTTTGCAGGTAGGTTCTCCCTTTATATTGTTGCTTCTTGTGATATAGACTTTTCAATTACACAATTTGATACAAATTTTGACACAAAAGCATATTAGAGAGCAGCTAATTTAGGTTTAGTTAAGTTAAAGTCTTTGTTATGTTAAAGATTTAATAATTTGCTACCCACCACCAACCTAAATGCAGTGAAATAGTTAGGATTGTCATTTTGAGAAATGAAGAATTACAAATTTAGTCCATATTTATTGTATATTATATAAATTAACCTGTTCAAATCTTCAGTGTTAATCAGAGGGACACCAAAGTATAGAGGGAAACCTTTGTTTGCCAAAACAAACACAAATTCAACTAACCATCTCAAGACAAACCAGAATCACATTTTGTCCATGGCAAAATACTAACTCAAGCGACATGATTTATTCCTTGAAAGTTGAAGTCAAAAATATATACATACATAAATTTCCAACAATGCAATTTCAGACAAAAAAAATAGCGAAAATAAATTTGAAATAAAACCATTTCTCTTCAAGAAATATATCTACTGTGTGTGTTAAATACAAATTTAGTCAGTGACTATTGATCTTTTCAGAGGGGGAAACTAACTGATTTTTATTTTTATTGTTTTAAATCAACCCACAGACCATCAACTCTTCAGCAGCAAATCGTATTGTGCCCTGGCTTATGGTGGGGTGGGGGAGGGTTTTAAGCAGAGAAAGACTGATGGCAATAAAAAGGTGCTATACAACCATGAGCACTCATTACAGTTAGCCAAATTGTTCTTAGATTTAATGTCCAAATAAAAGACCGTGTGAAACAAAACAGCCTTGTAAGTTTTACAGTCAACAGTTTCTTCTATCATCAGACTGATAATGGGTGATTTTCTTTTAAAATAGTCAGTGCTTAAACGGTTCATCAGTCAAATTATCAGATGTTAAAGGTAGAAGCTAAAAAAATCTATCTGTACCACATACAAAAACTGAATCTCATGAAAAGCAAAACTTGGCATAGGCTGTAATAAAGCTGAAACAAGTGATTATAAATCATATGGCACCCACAGTGGGCACTGGTAACAATGTACGTTTAGACACTGATATTTAAATATGACACAATAAATGTGTAAACTAGTCAAGACCTGACTAGCTGCAAACCATTGCACACTATGGGTCAATTGAACTACTTGTGTCATCTCAGGTTACAGTATAGTTCTGATATATAGCTTGAAGTTGTTCAAATAGCGTAACAGCATGTAAACTCTGTTATCCAAAGCTTTTTGGAATAAAAAGTAGTGAACGCCTATGTTGGGTTGATATGGAACACTGGCTGAAAAAAGAAAGGGGGCAGACAATGGGTACGCATTGGGAAAGCAAATCCCTTAAACTCCAGCTTGGTCTGTTGTTTAAACCACCTTAGAAAAATTTAAATTAGAGTTGCACATACAGATCTGCCTTTACACTAACACACGTGCGCACATACATACACACAAGCACCCACGCACGCTTGCAAGTATCTATTCGCACAGACAAACGTGTTAACAGGGGTATTTTTTTCATCGGATGCCTCGAAGAAATGAAAAAAAAAAAAAAAAGAAAAATATTTTTCACACTTCCAAAATGACTGAGAAACACCTTTGCCATTGCCATTATTATTTGAGCATGTACAGAAAACCGCTTACAAAAATAAAATACAATAAAAAAAGCACAGGGAAAAAAATAATTAGGATTTAAATGGTTTGATATAGAGAGCTTACTGTGCTGTCAACTATACAATTTACCCGTTTCTTAAAGGAGAATAGACTAACTGAAAAAAAAAAAAGAAAAGAAAAGAAAAGTAAAAGCGCAGAGACATTGTGCCTGGAGGACAAGCAGAAATATTCACTGAATAGACATTTGTTACAATTCCAGAAGAGCAGGAAAAGGCAGATAGTGCATAAAAGGTTCTCTTTTTCATTTCTTTCATTTTTTAACTTAAAATCAAGCTGCATTAAATACAGGCTGTTTGTACAGGACAATTGCACTTCACAAAAACAGAAATATACAAACACACACAAGGAAATGTGAATCAAATTAATTACAGCAAAAAACCTTACTACTTAAGCTGATTAACAAAAAGAAAGAAGACCTTGTGGACTTGTTATGGATTACTTTAGAGGAGAATATTAGGGTGGTTGAACAAAAAGGGGAGACAAGACGTTAGGGATCCTGAACTCCAGAGTGGACTGGTGCTGCACTATTCCAGGTTTGTGTGCATGCAACTCCTCCTCTTCCTCCTCCTCCTCCTCTTCCTCCTCCTCCCATGAAATTCCCTTCTTAGAAACCAAAAGCTCAGAGTGACGGAGAGACAGACTGCTGAGCTGAGCTGCTGTGGATCTTGAGAGGATGGTGGTTTGTAAACTCTATGCTGTGTTAGTGGTAGGAGGTTGTGTTACCACATGTCGTCTGTGGACGCAGAGTCCTTGATAAGAGAGAAGAGGGAGGAAAAACCCTTCAGACTCTACATGCACCAGATCTCTATCAAGAACTGGACAGGTTTAAGCATGTAGGACACAAACTGACACATAATAAAAATCATCCAGGAGTTGATGGCGATATCAACACCATAATTTCCCTCAACATCTTTGATGCTACTGTAAATACTTTTACAAAGTGACATATTATATATAATGTACTTTTTTTTTTAATGAAAGCTGCATTAATTGACTACAGTTGACTACCCAACACCACTATATACCATCCGCATAGATTGTAAGTGTAATTCAGGTTTATAAGGCCACCTTGTCAGGTATCATCATTTACTGAACACATACCAAGTATTATCTGTAGCTGCTATTTGTTTCAAATTTACAGTAAAATAAATGTTTTCAAACATGATAACAGACCATACAGTTCAGGTAAGTGTAGTGATGATTTTAGCACCCTTTCAGCCAAACAGCAAACCACAAGTAACAAGATTGATATCGTTAAACCAAATCTTTTGATCACTGCATATGATCTACTACAGTATGCTTGTAAGAATATAAATGTTCTGTCTCAGTAAGAATAACAGTAAAAGTTCTGCAAATAATCAATAATTGCACAATAAATATTTGGTCGATGTTGATTCAAGTTTAACACTTTAACTGAGAAACATGCAACTTGTCACTATATGAAAGCTCTAAACTATTTAAATTACGATACAATAATTGGTCCGAGGATTACACAAACTAATTGCCAATGGTTCCATAAAACAGACGCCGGTTGAATGTATTTATGTATACATATGTGATTGACTATATGCCGTCAATGCCCATATGCGACTGATTTGGCTCAGGATATGACTTGTTCAAAAAGCAGACCCCAAGACACATGCCAGCTATATGTTCATATAGCTATATTCACAACCAAACGTGGATGAAAACAAAAATGTGCAAGTCACAGAACTGGAATCAGTCTCTAAAATACATGTGTAACATAAAATACCAACCAATACAGGAGACTTGTATGCTACTTTATGCATACTTGTTTTAATCTATCTAAGGCCTCCTCTACTTCAGGTTTGGGGTTGTTTTAGGTTTGTGGAAGTGGCAATGTTTGAAAACTCTTGACAAACATTGTGTAATTTGCCACCTTTCACAAGTTTAGACATTAACCTGGCATCGACCATCCACTGGGTTGAAGCCTTAAATGTGAAAATATACGAATTTATTAATAGTTCAATACCTGCATGCTAAGAGCTGAAGAATATTCTCACACTGACTGACATTATTCTTATATCTGTTGTAACTGCAGTTTCATTTTAGCACTACTTGCAGGATACATCGCCGACGATCATGTTTGATAGCCAATCCTAAGGATCGATATCAGGTCTGATCCAGGGTATATTTGAATGGATCAATATCGGCAGTGTAGTGAATGTGAAAAATAATCTTAGTGCACTGGTGCAACTGACATAGACACCTGGATTAACACAACACACAAACACTAATGAATATAACATCACTGTGTCTCGTAAAATGTTCTGATTGTGTCAGGAGTTCTCAAACTTATATCATACACTCATATCAATAACGTAATCTTTAACCAGTATTTACGGCAAGTAACTCACAAAAAATAGTCAACATGCATACATACACCGAGCATCTCGGTAACAAAATGTTCAGGTTGTATGTTGAGTGTGCACTTGGCAGCGGTGTTATTTGGATGAATACAAGTTTTGGATATTGAAGGTTTTGATCTGGGTAAAGAACTAGTGTCTGCATGCCTTGACATTACCTTGTTACAATGAGTGAGATGTCTGCAAATAGTCACTACAGTTTAAAATAGGAACAAATATTGTGCACAACAAAAACACCTGAATGTTTGCCTGCATTCTGTTTTTGTACTTTTACTATTTACATTTAAAAATATAAAAACTAAACTAAAAGTTTAGAAATTATTCATTTTTGTTTACAAAAAAAAGTCTAATTTTAATCCTGTATACCAAACTACTAGTATATGGATAAAGTAGTATAAGTCCTTACTAAAGTTAATGTCAAGTTGATTTAACAAAAGTAACACTTTATCTATGCATTTCTTTACAGATAAAATCTATTGTTTGTGTATTATTTTAACAAATATTTTTGATTTGTTAAAATTTTTTTTTAATTATTTGTCTTTACACGGCCGTGAGTTTTATGGAGAGGAATTGTAGATATTATTAATAAGGCCTTCTGATGAATGTTTTACCTTAATACAAACAAAACTGCCAACAACTATCTGGAGATGATGTCTACAGAGTTTTGTTTGGTTACATAAAAGCAGTAAGGGATGTCTCAAACCACTTATTTAAAATTTCAATGTCAGAAAACGCCGATTGAGGTATAGTAGTCTTTGTTCCATTATTGACACTTATTTGATGTGGACCACAACTTCAAAAAGACGGCCCATCTGAATTTAAGGAAACTGTACTGGCAGCTGTGGTGAATAGTTATTATTTCTGGTGCAAGCACAGCCACTACCCTCACAGAGGAAATGCAAAATACCGACTACAGACTCTCCAAGGTTAGTCACAGATTACACACATGGCAAGACAAAGAGACATTGCCACCTACCACTGTATGCAGTGTGTTCACGACTACATCTGACATCCTTTCTTATAGAGATTTTAGTTACATTGTGTGCTTTTACAAAACACTAACCAGTGACAAAACACACCGGTATGACATATACCCTGTTAAAAAAGACACACACATTTTCTAAATAATGTAATTAATTACACAGCCATACTGAAATATTTGACCTGAGTTTAAAATGGCCCAAAATAAATAAAAAAATGCATTTACTTCATAAAGGTGATTGTCAACCACACAATGATAAGTAGGACTACTAGGATAACTAGAGGTACAACAACAACAACAACAAAGGGCTGTATATCAGAATGTTTGAAAAGAAAGCACGTGAAGAATGAGAAAAAGACAAAAGGAGTTTGTGATCTAATGTAAGTATCTAATGAAGAGAACAGAACTCTTCAGTTATAATGCTACATGCTATCACCATGGTCCCAACACCAAGTGGTGATACAGACATATACATAAGGAGATTCTGGTGGGAAAGATCAAATACTAGCAGAATGTTTGGGCACTAGGGGTGTAAAGGGCAGTCCACACCGACAACGCTAACTGTAACAATAATGATGTGAGCATCTACATTGATGAATGATAATGTTGTGTAAACAGTGGACCTAATGCGCCGCGCGGCTTAGGATGTGGGTTCACGGTAGAGACGTTCCTGGCGACTAATTTCTGTCACTTAAACAGAAATTTAAATTCAGAACAGTCGACTAGTTTTACTAAAAGTAAGAATAAACTCGAAAAAATAGCCAGAATTGAGCACGACGTCTTCGATAAGGTTGAACAATGTCTGGAAAAATATAGTCCGTATTTAACAGCCATTTGAAAACGTTGCATAGATAGTTAATAATAACCTGAGCGGGATCACAGCGTCAGCGGGTTGGGACGGTGAACAATTAAATCTTGTTTTGCTGATGGTGGCTAACGTTAGCAGTCCTAGTGCCAGCAGTCTACTCTCCTTACATGTCCACCGTGCTGAATGTGGTTATGTGCCAGTGTACTTCTGATACAACCTCATTTGTATTTGTATTTTGCAGTGAATGGTTGCAGAAGCAGTTGTGTCTGTGTAACATCTTAGATGTAACAGTTAACCAGCTTTCTATAATGAAGGCCTACATAAAGTATTACTAATATTTAATTAAACAGACTAGTATTTTTCTTTAAGCAAATAGCAAGGGTAGAAACAAACGACTAGTCGACCAATTGCACGCATCCTTGGTTCATTAAGTTAGGCTTCAGAGACCCCATCAGCGCAAAAGACTGTCAGTATGTCTCAAAATATATGTGTAAATATGTAAAATGATGTTTTGTGTGTGATTTGCAGCCTTAAATTACATTACATACGCGTTTAATAATGTATACCAAAATATAATTCGTAAAATCGCTCTGAAAGTGATCACAATGATATGGTTCACGCCTGTCGTCTTTATAGTTGTGGTGTGGACTCACTTGACTTAAAAAGATATATTTATAGTTATTGTTATACTTATTGTTCTTGGTGTGATGTGTGTAGATCGCACAAAACTTTAACAAAGAATGAATAAAAACAAACAGCAGGAAATGAATAGGCACAATTAAATAAATTAAGTTGATATGCAAATCTGTTTTTTACCTTCATGAGTTCGTATCACATTTTTAACTGTGATATACTGTGCAATGGTATAGTGTTGGACACATATAGCAGAATCGATACTGGATTGGCTTCAGAACAAGGAGGTTTAAATCCCTGGGTGGCCATGTCAAAGCTAAAACTTGAATTCTTTTAAGAATTATTGTAATAACCTAAAACTGTTCACAGCTTCTCTCTTGCATCACCAAGCTGGAACAAATCGGCAAACAAGTGGACAATGTCGAGATGTGCAAAATTGTATCTTAGGAGACCTGAAAGTGCAAATTCTGTCAAAGGTGACTTTTAGATAGATATGGTATTCTATCTTTAAATACTTTAAATACATCTGCAAGCATTTGTAAGAACCTAATTTCACTTTCTCCACTGGAATTCTTTTGTAGTCTGGGGGCAAATTTTATATTCAGGCTGCACCACATATTAAGGAGGAAGTCAAGAGACCAGGCGTTTCTGAAGGTACCCTAATTTTTGAGATAATTCAATGTGTGAAAGTAATTTTTGGAGTCCATCTTTATACAAACTAGAAATAATGAAACAACGTGCCAATTTTCACTGTGAAGGACAAGATGACATGCACAATTAAAATGTAGCCGACGCAGTGAGCTTATCTGCTGAAAATTGAAAAGCACAATATTTGAGTGGACGAGGGCAACAGCTTTGAGGTCTGTTTGTATGCAAAGGAGCAAAGTTTCTTTTAAACCAGTATGTGAGAGAATGTAGGTTTTTATTCCATCCACACAAATACCAAACATTTTCACTTATTTGCTCTCCTATTTGATTTAAGGAATACTACTTAGTGAAATCAGCTCATGTGGTACGAAACAGAGACTTTTTGGCAAAGGACCTGCAATCCAATTGTGGTCCTCTGTCAAAATTAAAGCTTGTGCAATTGATGTTTTACTAGGAGTATTTAAAGGAAACAATCAGACCATGTTTTGCCAGTGTCAGCCATATAGGTAAATTGTAGTGTTACAATATAATGGTACTTTTATGCATTTTCTCTCTTTTTTTGATTCACATAAATTGAACAGAGGACAAAAAAGACACACCGGAAAGGTCACTGTGTCATTGTAGAGTCGATCAGTACCATGTTTTCTCACTGCATTTTAAGAAAAATTCACTTGGCAACAAGAATATTTCCTTGTTCCAACTTGTTGAATACCAACGACATGCGTAAAATTGGTTAGAATTTGCTGGTCACACGTCAAAAACCATACTCCAAGCCAAGCACACCTACAGGGAGTAAAAAGACAAGCTGTGATACTTACTGTGTCATCACTTCGGTAGGGGTTGAGTTTGTTGTAGACCGCTTCAATAACACTTCGTCTGAAGGGAAGTAAAAGTATGAAAATGTTAGATGTTACAAAATGGAAATAATAATAATAATAATAATAATAATGATATAAAAAGAGACTGAGTGATTAAACTGTCAATCACTCTCAGAAAGAAAATCGTTTCACTGATTATGAGGTTGTCATCAATTCTAATCACAAAGCTCACTCACTTGCTTGCCAGCTCTCCTCCAGGGGGGAGGTTAGGGATGGCCTCAGATGCTAACGTCCGCATAACATGGACCAAGTCTGGGACACCTTCATCCCCTTGCTTTTTGAGGATCTCTGTTTGAAAACAAAACGACAGTCTTAAAGTGTTTGACAAGAATGTGTTTCTAAAAACAATGTGATTGATATAACGCAATTAAAATGTTGGAAAAATGTGTATCTATGTGTACAACGATGTGTGGTACAGAAATAACTGACAGGTCAATATTATCATGTTTAAATTAAAGCATAGAAGTTAGTAGGGTAGATCAATCCTGAAGGGACACCATTACTATTATTGATATTGCTTTTTCTCTCTGAGTCAAGGGTCTAAGGATGCTAGACAAGTAGTTTGTTGTGCATTTCATATTGTGTACGCTTAGATAAAAATAGGATTATAGGCTATTGTTGTTGTGTGTGAGAGGAAGAAATGGTAAATTGCAGTGTTACTATTTACAACGTTTTAGGGATATGTTGTTTTGTGTGGCTTTTTTTGTGTGTTGTTGTATGTGTTGAATCAAACTCAGTCGGACTCTAAGATGTTATGTGTGGTTCAATTAAAATGTATTAGATATTGAAAAACCCTCTGTAGTTATTTATAAATCACATATATTGCAATAACATTTGAATACTTAGATTATTTTCAGTGTGGTGTTTAACCATTTTCAAATTTTGTGTTCCCTGACCACTGTAGGTGCTTTCTAAACACAAGTGAGTCATAGGAACACAACTGCTTTGTTTTCAGACTTTTGTGTGTTTCCCTGGCTCTACACACAGCTGTGCCAAACAAGTATTTGTTTATTTAAAAACTAATGCAAAAAACAAGGTTTACATTAAACAAGGAAAAGTCCATAACCAAAAGAAAGAGCATTATTAAGACAATATCCTACTTTATTTAGTGGTCTACTAAATCCTACCTTCTACTCTGCTCTCCAGATATTTATCCAGCTCAGCCTCCCGTTTCACTGCTTCTGGAGATACCTTTGGGGCCCCAGGAAAGCAGATTAACACAACACTCATATTGTCACGGCTTCCCTGTGGAAAATAAAGAACAAAAACAGAGGTTGTGTAAATCAACCACGACACCAAAACAGACAAGTGTGTAACAAAATGTCAATGTAGGTTTTGTGGACTACCATACCTTGTACAAGCAGGTGTCAACAATTTCATTGCTGACTCTTTCAAGATCATCTGTCACCTCTAGCCTTGACCTGACAAAGTCACACAGTTCCTCATTGGCCATGACATCCCAGATGCCATCACATGCTAGTATAATGAATTCATCTTCTGCCTCGCATCTCTCTATTGCATAAACTTCAGGCTCAGGTGACACAAGCTGCTCTGTTGGGCCTTTTCCGTGCACACACTTGTAGTCGAAGTCTCCCAAAGCCCGAGACACAGCTAGGGACCCATTAACTCGCTGGATCATGACTGAGCCGCCGGCATTCTGGATCCTTTCCTTCTCCAGAGGGTTACTGGGTTTGTGATCTTGTGTGAAGAAGTGCACAGCTCCGCCCCGGCTGAGGAGTCCCCGTGAATCGCCACAGTTGATAAAGTAGATATGGCTCGGAGAAATCATCACTCCCACTGCAGTGGAGCCACTGCGGTCCACACCGTGCTTCTTCTCGGAGATGGTTCGCATGTGTTCATCGATCTGCAAGAATCCAGTGCGGATCCCATTCTTCACGCTTTCCACAGAGGCGTCTTCCTGCAGAGCAGTCTGGAAGTCTGAGTTGCTGGTGATGTGCTCCAGCAGGTGCTCACAGCAGTACTTGGCCACCTGAGAGCCAGCATGCCCATCATAAACAGCAAAGAATGACCAGGGGTCAAGACCATGAGGCAGACCAATTACTGCTGTGTGTGCATCTTCCATCTCTACCCGCCAGCCCTGCATGCTGCTCAGCCCATACCTCAGGTGGTTACCCTCACCACGGGAATTGTATTTTTCCATCTTTGGTTTGTCCAGAAATGCACCCATTGTTTCCTCCTTAAGACCTGAAAACACAAATTAAAAGAAAGAAATTCATTTACAAGATATGGCAGAAATGTTGTGTTTCCTAAGATAGCCAATTTAAGCACTGTGGATATATTCAGTTTCAAGTCATGTTATTATGCAAAGGTATGTTGGGGGGGAAAAAATCAATATTTTTCCAAAAAAATATACAATTATTAGTGCTAAACATACTGAATAATTTTCTATATAAATAACAACCCGTATAACATCCATTTGTGGGCAGATTAGCATCCAGGAGCTTCAGTTCAGGCCCCCTGCTCTAATCTAAAAATAGTGGACCTGTGCACACATTTGGGCTACATATTAGGAATACTGCTGGTGTGGATCAGACAGAAACGCCCTTAAAAACAGACCAAGTTTAACATTAATCGTATTGCGAATAGACCGCTGGGCAGCATCTCTCCGACACTTCACCATACTAACTAGTGGAGGTTATATTAGTTGAAGCTATCGTTACATACCAACAGAGCTAACGTTAGCTCACCCGACCTACCAGTTACTCGACAACCACCAAGAAACAATTTCAGGAGATCTGACAGATCAAACATGAACGCTACCGCTGTGCTAACCTCATTAACACCATAAACCCGCTCACTGACGACGGCTCTCGGTGTTGGATCAACGTTAAAAGTTAGCTCCGTAGCAAGTCCAGACCACAACCCAAATAAACAAACAGCCTTGCCTATTCGCGGGCCTTGACCCTTGTCCCTCACAGCTAACTTTGACAGGCCTCTCTCTCTCTCTCTGCCATGGTAGCGTCATGTTGAGGCGAGCAGAGCTGTCGGCCTTGCTAAGGTAGTGTCGCTGAATGCTAACGCGGCTAGGGGAGCTAGCTGCCCCGCGTCCCTCCAACACTTCTCCGGCTTAAGAGTGAACATCATGTGACTTACCAAATATCCAAAAGACCAGTTGACAGCAACTGAAGCTGCGACAGTAACACGGACTGAGTGGTCGCAGCACAGAGCTACACCGACGAGATCAGAGAGAGGAGGAGGGGGGTGGCAGGCGGTTGGAGCTACGCTAGCGTAGCCAGTTTGAAGCTAGGCAACGAGCATCGTCACTGACAGCTCAATATAGTTCATATAAAAGAGCGTTCAGGTGCGGAGGTCCCTGCTCTCCCGTGGCCGCATTACATTAGTCCTGCTCAGCGGCGATCGAAAGGCTCGTTCTGTAACGAGGACAGGCTGTAAGGTGAGCTGGATGAGGTCCAGGAGCTTTGTGTGGTGAGGCAGGCAGGGGGGGAAGGGCTGAAACGGTCTGTGCCCCCAGCCCTCTCCCAACTAGCACAGCTTCACAGGCCTGCTAGCTCCCGTTAGCGTTCTGAGGAGCACCGAGGCCCCCCCCCTCGCGAGCCCCTCCGGGAAACAGCGCTCGGGCTGCTGAGGGCGGGTTCCCTCCCGGCGCTAACGCGTGGCCGGGAGGCGGTATACGCATACTTCCGGCTTCGTTTTCAGAGCGAGGGCTGCCGGCACCAAAGCCTGTACGTCATACAATGCTGGAGTAGCCTTGTGGGCTGGAGTACGCCTTGGTCACCCTGAGTGGACTTTGTTCTCGCTGCTATGCAAATTTTTATTCACGAACAGAAAATGGAGCCAAAAATCACGTACCTAGCGGACTTGGCCGTTCCTTTTCTCCGCTGGAACTGAGCGTCTTTTGGCTTTTAAATCTGCCTGATGTTTAGTTAACATAACGCAAACAAAGTGAATACCTTAGCTGAGTCATTATGAAAAGTTTTTCCCGGAAGCCCCTGTTTGTTTATTTTAATTATTATTATTTATTTTATTTATTTTTATATTTTTTTAATATATATATATATATATATATTTTTTTAATTTGTACTCTATCTTTGATTTATTTATTATTTATGTCACCAATGTGCTGATTGTTATTGTATACCTTGTAGTTTTGTACATTTAAATTGTTCCAAAAAAAAGGAAAAAAAAGATATATATATATCTGTAAGTCACATCTGAATTGTAACCATCTTTTTTGCAATAAAGATGACTTTGAAAAAAAAAAAAGAATATACCTTGGATAAAAAGTTCGGTAATTTGCCTCACAAATACTGTTTTTTAACAATTTATATTTGAGAGGGTTTCATTAAATTTATTTGAATTTTTCCAGCCAAATTCTATATACAGACTGCTTTTTTACTGTATTTTGCACATAACATAGATCTCAATCTTGTACCAATAAAAATATCATTAAAAGCTGTAAGACTATGTGTTGTATTTATGTAAATAAAATGTTACCTTTGCTTTGTATTTCCCTGATTATCTACTGTGTTCTGAAGCAGCAGATCTCTTTGGACTGATATTGTGGATTAAACGAGAGAGACTTGTTCCATCTATGAGTTTTGCGCTGACTGCAATAATTCTTAAATTGTCTATACAATTATAAATTTTATTAATGTATTTGTTTATTTATATATTTTTTTGGTCTATTTTTCTAACCTTCTGCACTTAACCCTCTGCTATGTTTGAATGTATGAATTTTGCATTGAGGTTCTTCTTCTCAAAATGAGCGACATGTGCAATTTGTTCAATACACTTTTCTTTTTTAATTACAACTTCCGGGATCATCACATGACGCACTTTGGCCCACAAAGCATTTTCCCCATATATACATATATTAGAAAGGAGCGGCTGTAAAATCGTAAATATATTTTTCTCAGGGTCACAAACCGCCCAAAATGACTGTTTTGTAATCAGAATTGGATCCATTTAGTCTAATAACATTTGGAAAGTCTAGTGTGATCGTGTGATTATAATATTTTACCCCATTGATGTGTGCGGGGGGCGACAGGGAGCCAGCTCGGTCAGCGGAGGTCTCGGAAGCGCATGCTCTCCGCCGGCTCGATTGGAGAAGGAGTCCTGTGCGCATGCTCTGCACGCAGTAACAGTGAGCAACTTTCATAGGAATGAATGGCACAGAGCCACTAAGACAGGACCCGGATGTTGCAGGTTGCGTACTCGAAAACATGACATCATCCCTGAAGAGTTGTGTCTGCTCAGCCTGCAACACAGAGGGCATGTACACAGGAACATGGGCACCCAAATCTGATACAGCCTGCACATCGTGCCACAGATCTTTATGGATTGAATGTAGCCTATATCTGGCATCTCCAGCAAACTGTGCTATTATGTCATTTTAATGGATGACTGAATCCCATGTGCAAACAATCAAAGCAGTAAGGAATATTTGTCATATACGTATAAGTTATATGTGTAGTGTAATGCAATACGATGTGCTCCTAAGTTTGTGCTAAAATAATAATGTGAAAAATAAGAATAACAAACAAATAATTGTAAATAATCATAGGTCACAAGTGCAAAGGATTCAGTGAAGACTGTGCTATACAAGGCTGAAGATATATGGACAAATATGTAAGTATATCAACGCAGAAAATACTTGAATCAGTTGATGTTCTTAAATGTAGAATGTAAAGTCCTCTTGGTTGCTAAACCCTCAGATTCCTCAATGGTATATGCCAACAGGCAGTAGAATTAATGAGCATGTTATTGTTCTGGTGTTCAGGATTAAAAAAGGATTTCGCAAGCCTATGCTGCATATGCCAACTGTATGGCCGGCATCAATAATCAGAGAAATAAACTGCCTTTTACAACAACAAATACACAATGCAGGAGTCTGTATGTCCTTGATGCTGAGAAACACTCTTGTCCACTGATGATGAGTATGGGACAAGCAATACTTCACAGACTTAATGTTTGTTCTTGGCATTCCACTTTTTATTTAACATGGCAGTAGAGCGAGAGAGAGACTGAAAATGTAAGTGAGAGAGAGAGAGGATAACATGGAGCAAAGGACCTTGGGCCAGACTCAAACCTGGGTCGCTGTGGTAAGGACTCAGCCTTGACACGTGGTACAGGCTCTACCCGGTGAGCTACCGGGGCAACCCACAGATTTAATGTTTTATATCCAATGTCATATGTGATAACAATGCTCAGGATTCTGCTGTAAAACAATCTGTACCTCTCTTAGTAGAGCCCAGTCTGATGGTCACCTTTTTAGCTTCTGATATTTCTCTGTTGACCTGTGCATTATTGCAGAATTACAAGCCATGGACAAATTGCTCCATCTCTTTCTTGAGGCTTTTTGTGTTGCGCTGCTGCACATTTTAACACGGGAAGAATGAGCCTGGCTTATTTTGGTTTTCCATCTCTGTTTTGAAAGAGAATTTTGAAACCATGTTTTAGAGAACAAGTTTCTGTGTAACACTTTGTAACTGTTGTGGTTGAAGGTCATTATTGCAAAAAAGCTGACATCCACCACAGAGAGAAAAAAAGGGGCAGTTTCTGCAACCTCATGCGAAGGCAGACTAGGCGAAGACTAGAAGCCTATGAAATTAAAAGTAAATACAGTATAGATACATTTGATTGATTGTCTGATAAACCTGCATTATATAGTGAAACCATGTTAAAAACTGGGAATGGAAATTTGAAGTATGAAAGCACAATAACAGTTGACATATGATTATATGTGTTGTGGGAGTGTTAATCTTAATTAAAAAATAATATTTTTTGCACCAGGGTCTACTTGCAGATAAACCTGACCTGACTGAAGGTAGTTACAATAATTTAAAAAATAAAAATCTTTTACACCATTAATATTAATTTATATCCATCCATGGCAATTTTTCCCCCAAAATCGACAATCACTGAGCTTTAATTCTGAAAATATCAGAGCGGAAGTGACGTCGATATCCGTTATCTGCAGTTTGTTGTGATTGAAGCTTGGTCATGCGGTCGTAGCTTCTTGACTTCAGTCATAAGTCTTCCCATCCCTCCTTATGAGATGGACTGTTGCATTGTATCTGCGCTGTGCTGTTTAATCCCACTTTATCTTCTTATTCACTTCCTGTGTTTCGTTTTCGCGGATGCAGACTTCACTCTGCTGTGGGCGAGTCTGTTAGGACACAGGCCAGGTGAGTCCTCATGTCTCCTGTTGAATCCAGTGTCCTCTAACGTAGGACAACGCAATAACAATAAGTCACTAGCTGGTTAACGTTTGATCCATGACGGTGTTTAATGGTGGTCCTCTGAGCTCTTCAAAGATCACACTACACGTTTTATATGTGGGGAGGTTTTCTTAAAGTCTGACCCTGCTACATGTTCTCATATCAAGGACCAGAAGTGGAAAAAGTATCCACGTATTTTACTTAAGTATAATGCAAAAGCAGTAAAGACAGTACATACATATTATTAGGAATATATAGGCTACTAAAGTAAAAGCAGAATGGCTCATGAGTGTTATATGATCTATAGTGTAAACAGCATATTCATATGATACCTCCAGCTGTAACAGCTCACTATTGTCATTATTATATATATTTTCCTAATGTAAGTGGTGCACATGTTTATACTGTATATATCTTAGTGAATCATTAACTCCCCGGACTGTTCTTTGTATTTATTACCCCAATACACACTAACTATACTCTGCACCACACTGCTTTTTGCACTTATCGTTAGATGCTAAACTTAAGGTCATTCTCTCAGTACTTGTACTCTATGCAAAGACAATTAAGTGGAATCATATCTAATCTAAACATTGTCATCATGACAGTTTGTCCACCTGAGAGCACTGTGAAGATGATTTCTACACTGTAAACATGTTTCACTAAGTATGAATCTTGGTCACAATTAAATAAGAAAGACATCTATGGGATCTGTATGAAGATACTTTGTTTACATCATGTGTTTTTGTAAAAGAGCAACATCTTTCGGCTTCTGATTCTTTTTTTAACTCACAAATCTCAATATCGTCCTCAATAATCTAGTATCTGTTGAGCCATAATACTGATGGATACATAACAAATATTTCACTGTTGTAGCTAAAAGGTAAAATATTTTCCTCTGAAATATAGTGAGGTATAAAGTGGCAAAAAATAAAATACACAAGTAAAGTACTTAAAAACTGTATATGTAAATATTAGTTTCCACCATTGTCAAGGACAACACACAGGGCAAACGACATTGATTTTTAAAAAAATATCCAAGTTGGCTCTCAAACATGACTAAGTTCACGCCCTACAATAATTAGAAAACAATAATAATGATAGGGAAACCAGAACTAATGAAAAAGTTGATGTTTAATGAAATAAAGGTCAGCATAACATTTGTTTATTTTCCCTACATAAATCATATTCATTCAGCTTTGACCACAGCATATTTTGCCACTATTGAAATGTTGACAGTTGTGTGTTTTCATTAACCAGAGAAGAAGCTGAAGGGGCTGGTGGTGTGGGTCACTGGAGCCTCCAGTGGTATCGGGGAGGAGCTGGCCTATCAGCTAGCAAGATGCGGCTCGCGTCTAATCCTGTCTGCTCGGCGTGAGGATGAGCTAAATAGGGTCAAACGTTGCTGTTTAGGTGAGAGATTTTTTTGTTTTGCAAGGCCTTTGTATGGCCCAGCTAAAAGAAAGTTTGCTTAAAATTCACAGTAATTTAATTTCTACTGTTTAACACTGCAGTATAATAGAGTAATAACATTAACACTTTGCCACAGGAACTTAAAACCAACAGTAAATTGCACAAGGGTTTCAGTAATTCCTCTGAGTTTGTTTAATTTTTACTTTTATTCTTACTCAGTTGTGACCAGCTGAATTCTTTTCGTCATTTATTCCTAAAGAGTGCTCCGACCTCCAGGTTGAAGACATTCTTGTTCTTCCACTTGATCTGTTGGAGAGGACATCGCATGAGGAAAAAACAAAAGTTGCAGTCCAGCACTTTGGACATGTAAGGCTTTTTCATCACTAGTTTCATTGCAACAAGAACATTTCTTTTATTGAAATTCACATTGTGCTGTTTTTCTACTCTCTGGTTCTGTCCACTCTTCCATGCCTTTCCAGATTGATATCCTAATTAACAATGGCGGCCGAAGCCAGCGCTCTCTGTGCATGGAGACCAGTGTTGATGTGTATCAGGCCTTGATGGATCTCAACTTCCTGGGTACGGTCTCCATCACCAAGCAGGTGCTGCCTTACATGACGCAGCAAGGCACTGGGAGCATTGTGACTGTCAGCAGCGTAGTTGGCCTTGCTGGGGCGCCCCTGGCAACAGGTTACTCTGCCAGCAAACATGCTCTTCAGGTGAAGGGAATACACATAGCAACTATAATAGTCACATTACCTTTGTCTGGATTGCTCATTAACTTTTTTAGTAGTTTTATATGAGAAATAAATACCTTTATAAGTGATTAGCTGTCTGGGCCTGTGTATATCCTGCTGCTGATTGTTACTGTGTTTTCTACAGGGTTTCTTTAATTCCCTTCGGACTGAGCTGACTGACTTTCCAAACATATTAATCAGCACAGTGTGTCCAGGCCCTGTGCAATCACAGATTGTCCACAATGCCTTCACAGAGGAACTGAACAAGGTAATGTATTTTATAGAGCTGTTTTTTTATCTGTACTTGAAGTATATTTCAGTAGTTTGTCTCCAGTAACCCATTTCCCCTCCATTACCTAAGCCTGTAGCCATGGCTGGTAACCAGGAACACAAGATGACAACAAGCCGCTGTGTGCGTTTAATGCTGGTGGGAATTGCCAATGGTGTCAAGGAAATGTGGATTGCACAACAGCCCTTCCTCCTGTTTTACTACGCCTGGCAGTACGCTCCCACATTTGCCTGGTCCGTCACAAACATGTTGGGCAGAAAAAGGGTGCAGAACTTCAAAGCTGGTCTGGTAGGTGTTTATTCTCCTTTTAGGAAATACGGTGCATATTCAGCCTAAGCTTCAGCTGTATTGTCAGGGAGGTCCACCTGGTGTAGTGCTAAAAAAAATCAAATATCACAATGTTTTTTACCTAATAGCTCTTCTGAATGAGTTGGCGGGAGTCTAGATGTGTTCATGCTTGCCTTTTTTCACTGTTCAAACACCAAAAGCTTCATTTTTTATTTATTTTTTGTATGGATTAGATGGATTTTACCTTTGGACAGAGCCTGGCTAGCTGTTTCTAGTCTTTGTGCTAAGTTAAGCTAACCGGCTGTTGGCTCCACTGGCTCCAGCCACATATTTACTGTAGAGACATGAGAGCAATTTAAATGTTCTCCTATAATGTGGGTGGAAATACAGTATGCTGGGTCGCTAAATTACGTACCTAAAACTCCTACAAGGAACGTTGATTTTGTTTTGTTGATTCTGGTGGCCTGAGACTACATCTTATCAATTTATCAACTACTTGACACAAAAAAGGTTAAGAACTTTTGATCCTATAGGTCATATAAAGGCATCAATATTTAATCAAGACTGTTTCATAACCAGTTAAAAACTCCTTGAAGTATATTTAATGTACTGTAAAGTTGTTGCAACATTAAGGGAAAGTCAGAGCAATGCCGATCAGCCACATGCTCAAACAGTCATAGGGAGAGATTTAATCCAGAAACAAGTGGAAACACCTGTTTGGGTGTGCCATGGGCGTATAGGACCTTTAACAAAACATTTCCTGCACTACTGCAGAATTATTTTCCATTTTTAAGATGTATGCACATCCTGTCAAATTCTGATAAAAAGGCACACACACGTGTGATAGGACCAATTTGTTGGTTCTGTAGGTTTGGACTTGCTTTTGCATTCTGTATGGTTGACCTTGCTTCGTTAGACCTGGGACCGGGGGTTTCTCACCGTCTCAAAGCACTGAAAATACTTGGAATAAAGCAGAACGTGGCAGACACTATGAGGAGCTGTCTCTTAACAGCTGGGGGGCTCAGCTGTTACTGACCTTGCTTGAGTCTAATGAGAAGAAGATGGTAGCCGGGGTATGACAGTGAGCATGAGTACTTCCCCGCGGTACTGACTGACTGACTGACTGACTGACCAGTGTGTCTGTTGGCCTCTGCTGGACAGTGACAGCTGAGGGCCACAAAGAAAGGTCATGTTCCAACAGGCCAGACATTGGAGTGTCACATGCTCATGCTTCAGTGAGGTCTGTAACGTATCCTTTTGAGACAAAAAAAACACTCCTAAAACTTAACAAAAACTATACAGTATTCTGAAACAATGAAGTCACAGGGGGTAAAGCAATGTCATGTTTGTGACCACCAAACGATTACTTCAGATTTATAAATCTCCCCCAGGACAAGATGGCAGTTCTAACAGTTTGTTTCTTTCACAGGATGCAGACTCTGCCTACTTCACCAAGCCCAAGACCTCCTGAAAGTTACATTCTCAAGAAGAAACACGTTTATTGCATTCCTAATATTAAACCTGGAAAGTGATGTGGGTGTTCCTGCAAAATTGTAGGGTCCTGGCTTTCATTTGAAGGAAAGCATTTAAGGACAAGACTTTCAAATGTAAATCCTATATTTTACTGTCTTGTAACAAGCATCTTCAGGTTATGTGAACTCATTTTGGATTCCATGTAGGAATGAACTTTCACTAACCTTTTTGAATGGCTAATAAAATTTAGTTTGGATCAATTTTCAGTTTATTTAATGAAACACAACAACACTGCTTCTGCCAAGCTATTTTATTATAATTATATTCAGTTACACATATAAAAATTAACAATATGTACAAGAGACCATGGACAAATTCATTTAACTCTTCATTCTAAATTGTAAACAAGTGAATTGTAAACAAAACAATAGCACTAAACACCTTACACATACAGCAAGACATATCCAAGGCACATCCTCGATATCTGAACAAAACATTAAAATTCTTGTCCCGTTTGTGTGGACATTGAGGGGAATCACCTGAAAATTGTGAAATCTGAAAAAAGTACAATAAAACCAGAGGTATTCAGCAGGTGTTGTCTAGAGGGGAGGTGGGCAAATTGATTCACTTCTTTTTAAGCACAAACATTAATAAACCACAAAACATATGTGCTTCGTTGGAAACCTACCAGGGACTCTTTCAAGATACAAATGTTCAAATGGAATTTTTCATCTTTAATGTGCTGTTCTAAGGAGGTAGTCCACATTGTCAGTTAAAACCTGTTACACAAGATTTTGCAACTTACAAGAGAACAGTGGTGAAGCCACTGCTTCATCCTCTGCGGTGCAGGAAATGAGGCACCAAAAAAGTCATATCAATGTAAAAGAAAAACAAAGTAGGTTCCCATACAGACATTACCTATCTGAACTCATGTGAGCCAAAGTTTCAGAAGTAACACTCCAAAAGTTGATTGAAGTTTTCTCTTGATTTTGCTATAGTTTCCACATGATTTTCCTAATAACCATTAACTCTGGAAATTGACATTTTGCTGTGGTAGTACCAACTCAAAAGCATTGTGCTCCTTCTCCAGAGTATGTTCAGCAGAAAGGGCAGAAGAAAGCCACAGGTCAGAGGCAGGGGAAGTGAAGGGGGGCTGAGGAGTAAATGGGGTATCCAAGAGGGGGATCAGCTGCCTGAACAGTGAGGTTCCTTAGCATAAAAGGGTGAGCCTGGATGCTGTAACGCTCCTCATCGTCATTAGTAGCATACAGGAGCTCCCAGGAAAGGTTTGCCCACTGGCCTCGCACCCCCTCTCCATTCAGACGGCCCACATGCACCAGCTGCTCTTGCAGGGATAGGACACGCCCCGTATATGTACCCTGTAGACAGGACAGTCAATCATACAAATGTAAGACATACATTTCACTGTAATTGGCTTTAAATTGCAGTCATAAATAACTTCAATTTTATTCAAATGACTGATTATGAATAAGCTGTAGGTAAGGTATCAAGAGATGTACTTTTAGATGCTTAGACAGATTGTGGACTAGGACTGGTGGGTGTAATTACCATAGCGAGGTCATGTCCTAGAGAGAATAAAAAGGGTTTCTCCTGAAGCACACTGTCATGCCAGCCTTTCTCTGTCACCAGGCCAATGTACCAATCCCTTTCATATTCCTCCAAGGTGCTGAACAATTCCTCAGGGGACTCCATGGGCCCTAGACTTGCTTGATCAAACAGCAGCTTGAAACTGAACCTGAAGGGGAACAGAGGCAGAATTCAATAAAATACACATTTTTTTCTAGCATAAATAAGCTCTAATGAAAGAATGATCACAACCTAGAAAGTCTCACTGCCATTTTACCTGAAAGCACGAAGTGCAAGTTGGTAAAGTTCTTTACTTGAAGAGAGCCAGTCGAGTCCTTCCGTCCATGGTATATCTCCACAGTAGAGTCTGTAGATGTAACTGGGACTGGTGAAGGCCGACTCTGCCCCCAGTGAGATGAGACATGAAAGTGCTACCTGTGTGTGCAGCTCTTTCAAGGCTTCATCCTCCTTCAGGGCTTTGGTCATGTCCTCTGAGGTCTCGCCCTGCACAGCAGGCCCAAACTGCCCCAAGGTGAACCGAAACCAGTCATCAGGAAACAAAGGCCTGAGCTGAAGCAAGCGGGATGGTAGCAAAGGTGCTGTCCTCCACCCTGTTGGCAGGTTGAATATCTCCGACTGGGGGCAGCTGAAGTTCAGCTGAGGAAGAGAACCGGGACTCTCTCTGAAGACTTCTGGGTTACGGCCTTTATCCACTGCTGGCATCCCAATGCCCAGACCCAGAGGCTGCAGTGGCTGCAGGGCAGAGAGAGCCATATTTTCAAAAAGACTGTCCATCTCCACGGAGCCTGGCAGCGAGGCCCCTGTCTGCGGCGCTGTGTGTCCAGGCTGGGCCTCTGCAGTCACTAATGCCACTGTCCGCCTGGCTGGTTGAGGTCCAAATAAGTCATCCTCATCTGACCAATCACCAAAAGAGGTCAAACTGGAGCTGTCCTGTCTGAACCTGAGAGAAGACACATTGGATTCCACCAAAACAGCTTCAGGTGGCTGAGTACAAGTGGTCTGGGCCAACTGGGAAGACTGGGACTTCCTGCCTCCAACCCCTGGCCCTTCTTCACTGCTCCACAGAAATCCTTTGTGCTTCTGCACGCAGTATCGGAGGAGCAACCAGACCAGCACTTTCAGAAAGTCATCCTGAAGTTTCCTCAAGTTGTCATGAGAGTCAATAATGCCAGAGAGAACATTTCGGGCATCAGAGTACACACGCACTGCAAGGGCAGCACAAGGGGTGAGGGCGTTCCCCCAGTGCAGGTTCAAACCCTGGGTGAAACCGAGCCGCTCAGGGCGCTCAAAGGCAGCTTCAAACACCTCATCCACCCTCCGTGCCTCCACTGTGTGACAAGATGTCTCTTGCAGCTCCAGACCCTGTAACAAACCACACAGCACTATGTAATGTTGTTGTAAATGACTGCAGTAACAATAGACAAAAAAAAAAAACACACAGTACCTTAATATTAACTGTACAGTAGCCATATCCTCTCTCCAGGATCATTATCCAAACCATACGGTCCTGAAAGCGGCCAAGAAAATGAGAGCCTGGGGCTAAAGAACCTACAGAGGGGGGAGAGAATCATCAGCATCGATGCATCTATCATGTAAAGTGATGTGATGGGTAAACAGAGGGCGAGCAGGAAGGGAAACACAATATATGTACAACACGTAACACACGTAAGTAAGGGACTCTTGGTGCACATCCTTTTCATTTTGCATCAGCTGTGCATCCCTCTGCTGACTAAGTGGATAACATGGCTACTGGATGAGCTGCAGGGAGACGCGTACCATCACAGTTGTACAGGAAGGTCATGATACTATTTTAACTGGCTGACTGCACAGAGATCTAAATATTGAATCTTTTCTTGGTCTTAGCTTTCCATTAGTCTCTAACTAACTCCTTTTATACATTGTGGGCTTTTCATTTTGTGCGACAGAAGACAGTGGGCAGACATTTTTTTATTTATTTATAACAGAGATGAGCAGAAATGGCAAGGTGACGGAGGCTTTTGTTTTAAGTTGACTAGTGCTTGCTTGGCTCAAGAATAATGTCATGTCCCATAACGACATCTCAGAATAGTCCCCGCCGCTACCTCATGATGGGAAGTGACACGCTGGGCAGACTCCTTTCCTGCTCGCTGCTCCACAGGCCCCCAGTGTGAGCAAAGCAAAAGAACACTACAAACTGCCATCGTTAGACTGTGAGCATCAACCTAACAAGCGCTTATTCTGAATTATACATCACAGCTACAGCACCATAACCCACAAAAAAAACAAGCTTGAGTGATGACATCACCTCAGCAGTTTTATTTAGTTTTGAATCATCAATCCATAAATAATGATTCTCTACTTGCACCATTTTTTTTTTCTGTTGCCCACTCCTGATCGAGCCCAGAACAAAATCCTAGCAGCAGCTCCTTTTGGCCTGAGAGTATTATGCAGTTAATGGTGCGGAAACATTTGGATGTAATGAATACAGATCAGAGCTATTTTTTTTGGGTCACTTCACAGGAAGCTTAACTGGATCATGCAAGCTCACATTACTGCCAGCAATTCCAAAGAGCTGCTCACAACAACATTCCTCTTACTATTAAACAATATGAGGTGATGGTTCAGTGCTCTTTGATCTGCATACTGTCCCTACTTGACCTATAGGAAAATGCAGTCTCTGCAATTATAGTACCATTAAAAACACATCATAGTCAGAAAAAATAATCTTTCGTGCTCTGTAGATTGGTGTGTGTTATAGGCTTTAAACAAAGTAAAATAACAATTTAAATCACAGAGTAATATCATATTTGATTTTAGAAACTTTTAAACTTTTTGTTAAATCAAATTGATGAGATTAGTCAAAATTATAAATAATAAATTCATAATTTCAGATATTTTAGCAATAATACTGAACATTTGCAAGCTATTACTTAATTAAAAAAAAACATTTTTGATAATGAAATGAATTACTTGCAGTATTATTTAAATCTGATTCAAATATATGTGTGTGCTCTCAATGAACACTAGACTATTAAGATATATCTGAAGGTCTTCTTAATGCTAAAATAGTAATACTAATGATAACAAATTAAAAAAGAACATAAAAACATAAACATAGGACCACTAACCCAGTGACCCTCTTGCAAAGGCCGTCCTCAGAGCGGAGGCCAGACTTCCACTCATCTGCTGGTAGAAGATGGAGTCCGGGCAGGGACAGGCGGTACCTACGGGGCCTGGCCAACTGCGCTGAGGCCTGGGGAACCCCACTAGGAAGATAGGCAGGGTGAAGAGTGGCAGCAGAGGGGCCGAGAGCAGGGCAGAGAGGGTCACCACCGCCAGCAGCAGTGGGCATAGGGAGGCATTCAAAGCCAAGAGAGTTCCAGCCGACTGGCGGCGCTGCTTCTTCTCTGTCCAAGATGTCACCAACACAGTCAGGGTGAACTTTAGCTTGGCAAAGAACTGGGTCAGTCTGTCAATCAGGAGGCCCACCTGTATTTGAAAGGCAAACACTGATCTACTGAACCACCATCAGCTGAGAATATGCGTAATATATGTACAGTTTGAGTAATTTCAGTGCTTCATTACATTTTTTATTTTACTTAGTTTTTTTTTTGTTGTTACATTTTACTATTTTATTATCGGCTAATCAAACCAAAAAAATGGGTCCATCTCACAGCCATAAGATTAATACACTGTGGCCACGTTATTAGTTACAATGCAATCTAATACAGCTGTGTCACAGAGGTGTTTCTAATGTTTTGCCCTCCCTATTTACAAGATCATTAGAAACACATTTCAATATAAAGCAGTCCAGTGCATAACCACCACTGAGTATGACCTCAGTAATAAACATATAGTTGAGTTAACGCCTCTTGACAGTGTTAAAAAAACTGAACACTAATTCTACATTGAGGAAAATGTATAGCTGTGCCTTATAAAGTGGCCATTTTTACACCATGGTGCTGGCACTTGAACCAAATGTCTTACACCAAATGTTGGAAAAAAGGTTCCCATGATGATTTTTCCTATAACTATCATATTATCTATTAGTCAATATAAAAGTTTCAGACCAAGTCTCCCATGCACTGTCGACAGCACTGTAACAGACAGTACGTGTATGTAGATACAAAATACAACATATAAGGATCTAACGTGCGGTTTAAATAAGGGAAAAATGCCGTTGACCTCACCAGAAGAAGCTGAACTCCAGAGCCCAGGTTGTCCCACCCTGGCAGCATGTTGTTACCAGCTGCAAGCCGCATCAAGACCACAACCACCATTTGCAGCAGAGCATCTTCTGAACTCTGCCACACCTGCACAGCAACAAAGAACAACCACTGTGCTGAGCATGGAACATCAAGCAAAACACATGCTAGGATATATGACATTTTAAGAAAATAAAAAAGGACAAGAAGATGTACGACATGTTTTTCATTGTCATACATTTCTGTTTTATTTTAAACAAAGATCAATGATTCGTGCTGGTTACATTAAGAATCTCCTCAGAGTTTGTCTTCATTTTCTGCATGTTATGTTCACATTGATACTTAGTTTGTGAGCAACAGTGAGTGTGAGCATACCACTCTAAAGGCTCGTGTGAATCCCACACTGAGGGAAGCCCTGTGGAGCAACTGCAAAGATTTGTCCATAGACAGGAAAGCAATCATTGCAAACGGAGACACTGTGGAGGAAAGCAGTACATATGGGTCAAATCAGTTTCACGTACAGAGCACTGTTGTTTTCACACTTGAGACTTAAAGTACACATTATAAGAAGCTCACCAAGATAAAGAAGGACTCTTCTGATGGCTGCAGCAATGTATAATCCTCTGTTCTTCTGCTTGAAAGTCTGCACACTGGACATGCCTTTAGGGTACAGGGGATTGAGGAACACTCCTCCAAATACATAGGCCCCCTGGATCTCTCTGAGAGCCCAGCAGAGGCAGAAGAGTACGAGGAGGAGGTAACTAACAGGAGCCTGGGGTCCCGTAACCAAGCTCTGGGACTGAGATGAACCGAGGAAATGATGCAACAGCCCTGCCTCTGCCATCGCCACCAGCAGCAAGCTCAAATATAGCAGCACCTCCCTGCAGCCCAGATTCCAGCCAAAGGAACTGGGAGGAGGAGGTGGTGACCCTCCCCTGCGAAATCCACGGTCCCCAAAGGCTGCCCTGGGACCTGTGCAGAGTGTGCCAATCTGGCTGAGGTCCAAACTCAGCAGAAATCCCGTAGAGATGGAGAAGAGAACCACACCCAGTGTTGACGGGATGAAGTAATTACACACAGCTACGCCGGCAGATACACCAAACATCAACAGCAGCCTGTGAGACAGCACAAAAAAGTCAGAGCCGATGATACATAGGCTACTGTCACACTTGTCATTTCAATGTGACAATTAAAATCTGATAAGAACTGGTTTCCCATGTATCATGACCACAATGTGAATGAACAGTGAACTATGTTTTGCTCAAACTGCGGCTATAAACAACATTGAATTGGGTTGGGTTGATTGGTTTAAAACCTGATAATGCGCACTGAAGCCATATAAAGACATGGCATGTGATAAAATACTGTGTTTGAAATCATGTGATCTTGTGTTACATTTCTAACAAAACCAGAGATTAAAAAAACAAATAAAATATACATATTAAATGAAAATGTGGATAATTACTATTATTACATTGGACACATGACGTGTAATATAAATATGTTACTTACACATATACAGTACACTAAATACATCAAATGATAAATACAACCACGGCATTCACTAGAGGAAGAAGTTCTGTATTTTAATCTCAAGGCATAGAGAAAATAAACTGGTGATGTTGTTTACGACTTTAAAACTACCGATGAGAGCTAAAGCAGGTTCTTTAAATACATACCTGAGGTTGCTGGACATGGGCGAGCCTCCTAAGCCAAACACGAGAGCCTGCTCCATTCCCCAGAGGAGCAGGGCGTCCAGGGGAGGCAGGATACCTAGGGCCCACAGCAGAGGTAGGAAGAGGAACAGCACATGGAGAACCTGGCTGGCCAGTTGGAGTTCGGGGACAGGGCCTGAGAACCTGAATCAGAGCAGGACATTGAGATTTATTATGGGAGCAAGAATTGTAAACTATAGTAGCATTATATAGGAGGACCTCTCAGTTAATCCGATAACTGTGTAGCTGTTGCTCACCTATCAGCCAAGTCCACAGCGATGAAAATAAAAATGTAGAGGGGCCGGGTGAGTGGGGTGATCTCATAAGTGTCCTGTGCCTGGAAAGTGGCCGTCTCTGTGGCTGTATTTACAATGAGGGAATACTCAGCTATACACAGCGTCACCCAACTCAGGACAAAGACGACCAGGGAGACACCGATGCTGCCGTAGAGAGCAGTCAGTCTGCCAAGGAACACATACCATGTCCCAAAGCCACAGAGCACTCCAGCTAGGACTGTGTGCAGCACCACATTGAGCCCAAACCTCTTCCCAGGGGCAATAAATCGGACAGTCTCTGGGCTGACGCAGTGGGTGAATTCCACTTCCTCTTCATCAACCAGAATGTTGGGCGCACCGAGTCTCTCCACTGTGCCACTCCTCCGAGCAGCATACAATGCCAGGGCCTGGACACCCGCTGCAGCCCCGAACATAAGCATACCAGAGAGCACTGTGGCGTGGAGCTCCTGAAGCAGCTGCAGCTGGCAGAGCAGAGTACCGATGCCCCCAAAAAGCCATGGTGTCAAGAACAAGACTGCCTGATTGACATAGACATACGGTGGGGCGCAGTAGCCCAACTTGAAGCGTGGACCCCCCAACACTGTCTGAGGGAAGCGCTTCCAGAAGAACTCCTGCTTGTACTCATTAAGAAGGGGCACATCTGGCCCCATTCTGACCATTCCCGATGGGGTGGCAGGTCATCTCCACACAGCTGAAGGAGGGTGTCCATTCATCTTCCCATACACGATGACGCTGTCTGCAATGAAGCACACATACAGTTAGGCAATGGAGGAAGAATTGTTAACTAAATAGAGAAGCACTGATACAATATCATCATTGTGATACAACACTAGTGTCTGTCATGTAGTAACATTACACAAGCTGGAGTTAAAACAGCAGTTAATAATACAGGTTTTCAACTGAAATGTACTATTTTTGCTGCCTGCATTTGGATGATTTTGTAGTTTCGAGAACTTCTCTAGTTACATCTGTCATACTATAAACTGAATGCTGGTCCTACTGCAAGAAGGGGTTCAACTGAATGAGCACTAATTATATATCATTTTATTGCTGATCTAATTTCCAAAACAAAAATATAATTTTAAAAGCCATTTAACTACAACAGGACGGGTTATATCTGAAAGCCTCACAGATCACATACCTTTGTCAGAGCATCACTGAAACTCAGATAGTTGTTGAAATTCTCCTTCGCACCTTACACACACGAACTCTCTCTCTATTAAAATGGGGTGTGTGAACCACCTCCGGGTTTTGATGTAGCTATCACAGCACAACATCAGACTCGGACATGATCAACAGCTGCTGAGTTGCCATGAAAACACACCACAGAGGCAGTAACGTCAACCACAGCTTCACAATGCGCTAACGCGGGCTAACATGTTCGAGCTACTAACCGGACATTTCGAGTCACACCTCCTGTAACTAAAACCAGGCAATGAGCGGAAAGTAAAACGCTTTTCTTCACCTCTCTGAGACTGTTCTTGTCTCTTTACCTCGGCTAGCTATATTACTGTTAGCTACCGATGCCAGCAAGTCTTTCCAGCTTGACTCTCCGTTAGCTTTGGCATTACTAACAGGTAAATAACAGCAGGTTTACACCCTGCGCTGTCACTGGTGTGAGACAAACTTACCGTGAGCAGCAGAATACCCAACTGCAGATGAGCTTTGTGTAATACTTGACGGTATATGCAGTATTATGGAGAAACAGGCGGAAATTGCCAGCGTTAACATTAGCTGCGAGCTAACCGCTTGAAAGCCAAGCAACATCGGCATGATACACAGACAGACGGTAACCAATAGGAGTGGAGAGAAGAGGATGGCGCGTCCTCTGATTGGCTTAGAGCGTTTAGAACCCGCCCCCTTACACCCCCAACCCGCCCTTTAAATCACAGAGTAAAAGGGAACGACACAAATCATTGTTTGTTTGTGTTTGGATGAAAGACAATACACTCTCTATCTCTCTACTCACACACACAGATATATCTTAATTATATATATATTAATTACATATGTATATATTATGTATGTTTTATATATAAAATATATATAATGTGTCCTATGTCCAGCAACCTCAGGTATGTATTTAAAAAATGTGCTTTGGCTGTCATCAGTAGTTTTACACTGGTATTGGACAGCAAAACTGAATAGAGAATGTGAAAGTCACAAACACTATGTATATATGTATACATGGACTGATACACTGACAAACACCTGTCCAGATGTGTGAAACAGCAGCACTCTATGTGACTCACTACTCAACATCTAAATCAGTGATGCTACTTACCAGTGTAGCAGACCTGTGAGTGATCAACTATGCATGGATGCAGAACGGCCAAAAACTTTAGCACGCAAACACTTTTATAACCATCAAACTCATTGAAAAGCAATGTGTATCAAGTAGGGCAGTCTGGGAATCACATTCAACTGTGCAGATACCCCTCCTCAATAAACAACAGGATTCTACCACTCCAACTTGTTTTTTTTTTTACTGAACAATGAAAAGACCCCCCCACCCACCAATCAAATGACACATCCCAATGCGTTGTTTATCCTCCTTATCCTAAATCATTTTTCAACGTCTTTCTTCCCAGTATCTTTAATTCCCAAATCTAATGCGCTTAGTCGACCCCAAAAACTGACAAAGGATTAGAAATATTAATATTACATTCTAAATCCTTGTTATCATGTTCTTAATACAAAAAGAGCAAATCCTACAAGTATTTTATTATTTCAATATAATGAAAGTGATTGTGGTCAAGTGTCTGCCTCTCCAAAATGTTGATTTACTTAGAGAGAAGGGGGATCATGAAGTGATCAACTAAAAAGGCCACAATATCAACACAAAGAAAGATGATAATCTGGAGCCAAGGAGATTAAATTGTTGTTGTTATTCTTCACTGTGGCTGAGGGGATGAGGGTGGGCAGGAGGTTGTGTTTCCTTGTCATCTTGAAAAAGCAATTTCTGCTCTGTGTAGGACACAATAAACCATCACAACAGAAAAGCCTGCCAGTCACGACATGTATTGCACCTTGTAATCCTCCCATAGCACCACTTATTTAAAATCATGGCTCCATTTTTGTTATAGCTGCCTGATGAAGAATATCAACTTGAATTAAGACTTAAGAGTCATTAAAGGAGAAGACCAAATGCAAATATCATCAAATAAAAAAGGCTGATACCAAATTGGCTACAATCTACAAAAAGAAGACCATCTGACAGTGCTCTGAAAATTGATTCCGCCTAAATTTACAAGAAAATTGGGTATTTGTCTGTTGTTTGGTTATTGTTACCCTGTTTGTGCCATTTTAACCACGCAACACGCTTTGTGTGATTGAAATAATGTGATAAATGACACACAAGTTCAATAATGTGATAAATCACACACAGGTCCAGAAATGAATAGCAGTTAAGAGTTAATGCTTCTGCGAGGCGTGCTCCAAAATGTTTACACAAAATAAAAGCATTTTCCTTGTCATTCTAATTGTCACTCTCACTACATTCTTTTATCTGTATTTTCCCCCATTCGCTTCCTCCATTCGCTCTTTATTCTAGGGAGCCTCACAGGAAACAAATTGCAGGAAAATGACAAGCGACAACAATAACTCAATGACAGATTTCAAGAGAGGCAATATGGCAAGATTGTTTTTGAATAGAGAATGTATTTGTGGGGATAAAAAATGAACTCAGGACATAATATGCACCTTTTAAAAACAAAATAATTTATATTTTGATGATGACCTGCAGTTGTTTGCCATTAGCAGCCAAATGTGGAGAGAACATTTCATTTTTACAACAGCAATTCCAAGTCAAGTGGTGATGTTGATGTAATTGTAACTTCTACCAAAGCACTTCTAAAGTTAATACAAGCTGGTAAATGTGTAATACATGTGGACTTTAATGTTGTTCATCCATTACATACTGCTTCGATAAGTATCGCACAAGATGCTGCGTTATCTTTGGCATCAAATGTCAATCATTGTCCTCATCCCTCTCACTTCACCCACAACATCAACCAACACTAGAACCTGAGTAGATAGCAGTGAAAACATGGTCCATTCAGCAATTATTCACAGAGTCTTGGACTAATGGTGCTCTGAATGCACAGACACAGCAAATGTAGGGAGTTAGTGGCCCAGCAGTAATTGCCCCATACAGAGCATGTGTTTTTCTGTGTGTGTGTGTGTGCGTGTGTGTGTGTGTGTTAGTGGGGATGGGGGAAAGAGCATCATCTATAACGGATTCACAACAAGCACAAACATGTCTAATTATGAATCCAGACTACAACTGTAGACACCAACTCACTTTCCCCTCTCCACCCTCTCCGTCTCTCTTCCACCCTCTCGTTCCCTCCCGCCCGAGCCGGGCTCCATATCAGGCAGATGAAAACATAACCTGTCACATTCCATCCCATTAAACCAGCTACGAACCATGTGGTCTACTCACATGGAGGAGCGAAGAGAGGGAGAGGGGGAGAGAGAGAGAGAGAGAGAGAGAGAGAGCAGTGCATCTGGGTTCACTCAGTACTGATGAATTATTCACATTCTTTATGCTAATGTCATTTTAATGTTAAAAATACTGACCGATATGCAAAAAGAAACATACTGTATGAAGTGGTATGCTCACCATAAGCTCACACTACACACACAAATACAATTGCATTAAAAACAGCTTTACCTCTAACATATCCATACTGCACATACTGTACACAAATATAAAATATGTAATTATCCTTTGCAATACCTAATGCATTAGAGAGCTCTCACTGAGCCCCCAAATCTGTGCATTAGAGGTTTTTTTTCTTTTCTTTTTTCTGTGAGTCCATCAGCTGCCATTTGATGTCGGGCAGAGCAAGGTAATGACAGTGCACTCGCTTGCACAGTCATTAGCCCCGCTTAATACTGGGAATTAACACAAATTAAGTGAAGTTAAGTACATGCATTAGAGGAGCTTGTTTGGGGAGAGCTTTTCACTTTTGCTGCCTAGAGCTGGCTGCTGCCTCACATGTTCAGCAAAGGCTACACAGGCAGGAAACACAAAAAAATAAGGCATGCACACACGTATCTGCCTTCAACTGATGTATTACTACCTACAGGGCAGGTGGTAAATTCATTGAGGACAGATTAGTGGTGCAGTGAAGGTGGGAGGTAATGGAGCTCTAAGGACACCTAGTGGTCACATTAACAGCACTCATCCATAAAGTCCATAGTTCAGGTTGGTGGAAGAAATATGAAAAACATATGTATTATGAAGAAGTAAACATCTCAAGTTAAATAAAATAATCATTTAACTTTACAATAAATTGCTGAGATAGATGGCAACAGTCTGCATGGTGACAGTGACAATGACTTTCTTTCCCTATGTTTATACCTACGTCAATGGATGAGATGTCATCCAGAATCTTTTCACATGGAGGTTTCTAACTCACAATTACCAGTTCATTACCAGAATTATAAGTCACATAATATATGTAGGCTGTATTACATTTTATCACACCCACATTTAAGGCTCAGACTGGTGTTTTGTTAACTACAGGACTACTAGATTACTAGACTAAACTGACAGGAAGATAGAGGTTTATAATCTCATGTTCAGCAGATCTAACATCATAAATATCAAGTGGAGTAGGTTCATTTCCAGTTACAACACGCAAGATTTGCCTATTAGTTGAAACTGCCGTGGGCTTTTCGAAAAGAGGCTAACATGATAAAAATGACAATCTCTGAAAATCCATTTGGACCTCATTCAAGATTACATCTTTATCTGAGTGACTGCAGATTATTGTCCACAGAGAGGTGTGCTAAAGCTGGATTATCTACTTGTTGGGGATGCATTTGACCCAGTGGATGCTGCGTGCCACCCTCACACACCCTTACATCTGTGGGTGTTTTTTCACTTGTTTGGGGCCAAGGATGGGATAGCAGTAGAAATGACACCAAAACCTCTCATCCTCAGATTACCATGGTTAGTGATCCACATATGTGGATTGAAAATAAGGTCACAGTCATTATAAATGCATTTGAAAGGGAAGCACTATAATCAAGCCTAATTTTCTTTGACTCTGAACATGTTTTAGTTTCAACTAAAATTCAGTGAGCCGCAAAGGTGATTTATTGATATGTAAACAGCGAAAAAGGTTACAGAAGGTTATTTAATGCTATGTGAAAAAAACAAGGGCACTTGAATTGCCCTATGTTCTGACTTTTTCACCATTAAATATGCAAACAGAGGCAGATGCTCAAATACATTAAGGCACACTCAGAAACACCACCTTCAATATATGATGACCTAAAATACCGTGATATGTGACCACACCACAGTCATGGTTGTCGCACGTGTTCACCTTTGGATTACGTACTGATCGACAAGTATCAGTGTATACTCCATCGCCTCTGGCCACTACATGGATGGAGGTTTGCCACTATTTGGAAATCTGGAAGTACGAAGAAAAAGTCAGAGTGTATTCTATTATGTTTCAAACATACATTTTAAAGAAGCATAATTATATTGGTTGGATTTTGTACTTACTAACCTGCTCTCTTGCTCCTGGTTGGGATACGTGATGATGACTCTGTTTCCATCAGGAAGAAGGCCTGTTGTTGTCAGGTTGCTTACTGCTTTTCGAATGTGTCTAAAGGTAATGTCAGTTTGGCCGCTTCGAGCAGCATTACCGTGCTTGTGCTTCTTGTCTGAATTGGGAATTAATACGAGGGTGTGGGTTAGAGAGCCAGAATAAACTAAAAAACATACTGTTTGTGTCAATCTAAAGCTTATTGTTATGCACAATCAAGAAATGAACCATCTTCAAGAGGAGACACTCACGCTTGTATGTGTAATGAGATTGGGCCTCGTCCACGTTACTTGGCAGGCCATCGTGCCCATGCATAAAGTTCTGTAGTCCTCCACTCATACTCATTCCTCTAAGAGGGTTGTGTCGAGGCATGAGGGGTAACAGTCCAGGTAGGTTTATTTCAGTGGCAGGAAGCAAAGCTCCAGGGCACTGGGAGCATGGCTTTAAGAGAAATAGGAAATAGGAACAATAGGAAAAATAGAAGTAATACTAAGCGGACAGGATTACTTTGAAGGAGACATTTAGATAATGTGTAAAAATGATCTTTAGTGCTTCCAGAGCCTACTTAATGTCTTTGTATTCACTGACATATGCATCCTAACCCTGTAACTGTTTCTTTTTCCTCTACTTTCCTACTGTCGCTGCAGTGTGTTCACTCCACCCACACACTTGGCAGAAGATTGGTGATTACATTGCGTGTTGTTCTACGTATATAAGCATCTTATAGGAGAATAGTAATTACTACTCATCAATAGCAATGTTCAATTTCAAACAGCAGCAGTCACTGGCACAAACTGAGAGTGACAACTGAGTTGGCAGTTATGAGAGTCAATAGGAAGAGGTTTGTGTTTTTAATGAGAAAACACAGGATCTCTGCTCGGTCATTTCCACATCTACGATTAGCAAGCAGAGGGGGTCGTGTTGACCTGGCTAATAGGGGGTAAATCCACTGGTGCATTATCGGCCGGGCACATTTCATCTAATCAGCAGGATGATGCCAGCAGGCTTAGGCTGCTTTTAATTCAGAGCTGCAGGAGAATTACTGCCTTGGTCTCTCATTACATGAATATCAAATCAGTCAGACTGAAAGAATTTGATCCAGGCTTTTCCCTTTTTTGGTGTGGTTTGGTTGTTGTCATTTTGTTTCTTTCAGTTGGACAACATCTTGCATGATCAGGCCCATTATGAGCTTTTGAGAATGGGAAAAAAAACTGTTGCATACTCTGACTCCACGCATGGAGCAACACTTTTTTCCTATTCTCAAATCTACTTCCAGTGATCAGCACCTCAGTACAAGCCTTGGTGTGTGTTACTTTTCTATATCATACCATTATAAGCTTCTAACACAAACAAGGTTTTAGTTCATTTTGTCAGTTTCATACTGAAATACAAAGAATCATTAGAGATAGTGGGAAAGAAAGCTTTCTTTCCTGCAAACTAACCTTATTCCTGCCTCTAAATATTTGTTATAAGTAAAACATCTTCATTATTGTTATGTTATTAATGTATGTAGGGCTATAGCCAGGATTTTTAGAGAAACTAAAGACCCCCCTAACACTCTTGTCATCATTATTCTCTATCCCAACCTGAAGGTCTAAATGGTGTTTCAAAACCTTCTCCACACTGTCAGGAATAAAATCATGGGGGAAATCATGTTCTGGAGTCTTGATTTCTTCATTATTTTTTGTCCTTAAAGTAGTCAAAGAAAAATTGTGTCTAAAATACTGGAATCAACATGTGAAATACACAAGTATGTTTTTAATTTGTAGAATTCTTCCCAAGGTCGAAAAAATATACTCTGAAAAATGCTGGGGCCCTGTATGTACGTGTATAGCCTATACAGTATGTGTGCAGTATGAGTGTTTCTGAGTGAGAATGTTGTTCTCACTGATGAATCGGTACTGAGGAGTTCAGCCCTGGTCCTTTCCTCCAGGGTAACCATTACTCCATCCAGGACCTGCAGCCGGGACAGACGGAGCACTACCGCTGGTCTGTGGAGAGAATTTTTGGCCACCTGGAAGAAAAAAAGAAACACCTGTTTGATAAAACAACCTGGTAATAAATCATACTAACCTAACTAGCAAACTGTGGAGACATCTGGGATAAATATGATGCTATGTGGGTGCCAACGCAATTATCATGTTCCCAACAGCTTTTCCAGCGACCCAGCTGACAGCAGCAGATAGCTCCGTGCCCAGCTGAGGGCACCCTCTGGCCAGGATGCAAGTTCACCCTATCCAGTCATAGAAAGTAATGTTCCTATAGGACACTGCTGCTGTGATTAAGTTGTGCATGTATGCCAATGGATGTCCAGTGGAGAGAACACAGACTTTGGCTAGGGAACATGGGTGAGGTAGCAATCTCATGCTGTCAACAGCAGGAGGTATTGTCTCTGGGGTGGCTGATGGCCTCTACCCCATGGCAGGATTAACCCCTCCTATGGGAAGAGAAGGGGGATGGGGTCAAGCAGTGTAGAGGCGACCACAGCTGAACATACCCCTATGGACGAAAGGGAGGCCCTGGGCTGTAGGCTCCGCTCAGTCCTGATCCATGAGCTCCAGATGGGTGATGTAACGGGGCCAATAGCGCCTTGCCATTTGGTCAACGGATTTGTCTCTGATGCCGGCCAGTTTGAGGCACAGCAGATGGCCCATCATGTAATCGCTTAATTTGGAACCACAGAGTTACACTGGGATAGTGTTTTGGATTGTGAAAGTCAGAAATTGAGCCTGTGAAAGTGGTTTTGATAATTTGTCTGCAAGTGAAAGAGTTCAAAGTGTCCTGTGACTGACGGCTAGTAAAATCACATTAAAGCTTATAATAGCAAAACAAACTTGGATAATGTTTTCACCCAGTTCACCTAACTGTGTATAACACTTAATAGTAATACTCACAGGATTGCCAACAACAGAGAGCTCCATCAGCGAAGGAAGAGCTTCTAGTTTGTCAAGCTCTGTGATCTCCTTCAAAAAGTACAGAAACAAAGATTAATTTAAATTCGTATTTCATTCACTATCCCCTCATTTAACTTTTATTTCCCACTGGCTGTAGGCTGCTGTGTGTCGATAATGGAGACATATGCATCATGGCTAACGCTTTCAGAATTTCGGTGTAGGGAGAATGGAAGCAGCTGATGAGAGGGATTACATGTGTGAGCTCTCATTAATCTCATGAGAGAGTTTGGGCACACAACAGGGTGCGGGGGTGTTTTCTGTCATTTCCAGGTTTATGGTTGCACTTGGCTGTGATTCAAAGACGCCCCCACTGTGAGAACTGTAGCGCTGGGATGATTGCTGTATTTGATGTCTTAATTGAATGCATGAAAACATTAAGGAAGTGAAGGGAAGCAGGAACTGGCAACAAAAGTGCAAATCACTCGCCCTGGGTGAGAAGGAGATGCAGACTGAGAAGCTGATTACACGTTGCCCTGATTGTTCACCTCTTTCTTCAGACACATGGCCCTGACCTTCAATCAAACTTGATTCTGCTTAATGCTACCCCTCGCATGCCACAGTGGGGTGGTAATGACTCATGATTACTATACTTCACGCCTTACTTTGCAAATGCAGGGAAAAGTAATACGGCTTCACGCTGAATGAAATACATTCTCAAACATCTGACACATTCTGCATATAAACCAATCAGTAAAATTTGGTGGTAAATCAAAAACTGCACAAAAGCTTACTGTGACCTTGGTGGTCACCTCAGGAAATCACAGTGGCATGAGTCATTAAGGCAGTTTCATTGAAAATCCAAATATAAGGATTTTTAAAAGGAGGCTGCTACTGCTGCTGGAGGAGAATACCTGCAGCTTGTTCATGCCGAGAAAGAGCTTGCGGAGCTCAGTCAAAGGATCTAGATGGTTGAGCTCCCGGATCCGGTTCTCTGCTAGGTGCAGTTCTAGCAGAACATTCTGGGCTATGAAAGAGTTTTCAGCCAGAGCTTTGATCCGGTTCCTGTCCAGCCCAAGCTCTCTGAGCCGGTGAAGCCCCTCCAACCCTTCCACCTGGCTGATCTCATTACCTAGGGACAGAAGACCATATCAAAACAATGGAAAATATATTTCCAACAATAGTCTAATGTTTCTGTAAACAAAATAAGAGAGTGAATTGCACACCCTACGGAATATAAAAGGCTGGTTTTAAGGCAATATAAACATTTCTCATTTATTTGTTGTTTGCTGCTGGTGTAAAAGGCAGTGAAATTACTGAGACAGCTTTGAAAGGTTTGTAAGCAAAATAGGAAGAAAGGCCAAGTAAGGTTTGCTTTGTGGGACAAATCACCCTGACCAAGTAAAGCTCAATCAAAAGCCATCAAATGCTGTTGAAAAGAAAGTCAGTCTTTCTTTTCTTCAAGTCTCATCTCCCACCTGGCCTAAGGTCTAAGGGATACTTTGCTCTCAGTGTTTGCCTTTTCACAGGCTCTATACACACACTTTTAACAGGCTTTGTCAGGGAGGGGTGGTACGCCGTCAACCATACATACCTTGAAGAAAGAGCGCTTTAAGATTGGTGAGCCTGCTGAGCTGCAGATTGGCCATATTGGAGATGCCATTGTGACTCAAATGCAGCACCTCCAGGCTGCCCATCAGTGGCTCCAAACTGCCAGTGGGCCCAGTTTCCCTTAAACACAGTCACAGAAAGACAGTTTGCAACCTCTGTGGTTAAATGAACATCTCTTTCTCCCTCCCGCTGCCTCATTTAACTGGTCCAACATCACAGGTGCAGACCACCTAAAGGCAATCACAGTCAGGGCTAACAAAGCATGCCTGTCACAGCACTTTCTATAAAAAGAAAATGTGATTGGAAGAACATATTAATATTCCCATGATATACTGGCAATGTAGAAACTAACTAGTATATAAACTAAGATTTCAATATATGGTTTATTTTAGGTATAACATCTCTAGAAAGAATAAATAATTTGAACCAAATTACATAAATTGAAACTGTGTTTATAACTAGTTTTAATTTGGGTTTATAGGCAACAACTGTGACAAAAATCTCATATAACTGTCTGAAGACAGTTCATACATTGGCTTGTCAGTGCTGCCCCCTAATGGTTACAGTCTACACATTCAGTTGAAGTTCATACATCACACTTGGCAGCAGTCTAACATTGTAAAATGTAAAAATACAATTCATTTTGTGAAACAAGAAGTGTGTTACCCTTTGCCTTTGGATGGGCTCTGCTGGCCGTAACCACTGGAGTGAACTTTGCTGTGCAGTATCTGTCTGTTTGTCATATGAGTCTTCTGTCTGGGCAGGATGGACTCAATGTGGTTGTAGTTCAGACACAGAGCCTGTAAGGAAGACACTGGAAATAATTGATCTGTCCAGGGCTCAGCTGCATATCAAGCCAGTCTGTTACTTTTTGACATTCAGTCTAATTTGTAGCTACTTTGATGTTGGGCAGGTAGATGAGGCCTGAGAAGGAGGTGAGGTTGTTGTGGTCTAAGTTGACACTGCGCAGGCTACAGAAGAGGTCTCCTGGACACAGATCAACCATCCTGTGGGGGGAAAAAAAACTCTTTTAATTAGTCTAAATTTTCAGCTCAGTAAATCACTATAATGATGCTCATTTTTTCAAAATGTGCCGTGTTTATCTGTCTGCATGGCCAGACTATAACCTAATTGAACAGGACTGCAGGGTGAGGTAGGTGATGTCTGTGTAGTTGGAGTGGCCCAGCTTCTCTGCTATCATGTCAGGGGTTAGTCTTCCTCCAAACATATCCTTTGCACTTTCACACTCTGTTACCTCCTAGAGAAAAGAACAGTAAATAGAAAACACTAGACCTAATTATCATTATGAAAATGTTTGAAAGGTTCAGCTGGTTGCCATTGTTGGTACATACCACTGCAATGCCATCTAGTGCTTTTAGGGAGGGTAGGTGGAACACTACATAAATCCGATAGTTTTCCAGTTTCTCCAATAAAGGATTTCCATAAAGATCCAGAATGATGAGGTTTGTCAATCCCTGATGGGAAAAAGAGCATATGAGCTCAGACAACACAACAAAAATGGTGGGGAAATCTGAAACCTACTGTACTTAGTTCTCTCCCACTTGCCTTCAGAAAGTAGATGTCTTGTGAGGTAGAAATTTGGTTGTTGCCGATGTAGAGCTCAAGAAGGGAGCGAACTCTCTGGATGCCATGCAGGGAACTGATGCAGTTGTCCTCCACAGACAGAAAGGACAAGTTGGGCAGCTGATCTAGGACTGAGGCATCCAGACTAGACAGCTGATTCCCATCTACACTTAGTTTATTTAGGCAATGCAGTTTGGATAGGCCTGAAGAAACAGAGAGCAAAGACAGTCACAGAAATAATGATGTCTCTGATGGATCTAAATGCTGTGATTTTCCAACTTCATTGTCACAATTCATTGCCAAGTTGACAGTGTGACTAACCATTGAGTGTGCTAATGTTGTTGTTGTTAACCGAAAGCTCCTCCAGCTTTAAACAGCTGTCAAGACCTTCCACTTTAGAAATGTCATTATCATTAAAGGAGGCCCAGCGCAGATTGACCAGCTTATTCAGATTGATCAGTCTGGAAATCCTCTGGCTGTCAAGGTTCAGAGAGGTGATCTGCTCAAAATGTAGGACCACATACACACAAAACAGAAATTATTACAGATGTTAAACATGTATTACAATTGCCACAGTATCAACATAATGCAGCCTGGTTATTCCCTGGAGTAAGCATTTTGCTAAAACTTTACAAATGCATTTTCTGAAATCACTCCTCTAGAAAAATCCACATGCCTGTAGCTCACCATTGCAGTCCAGTCTAGCTCCAGCTCTCGGTTGAGACCCCAGGGTGCAGTACTGAGAAGACACAGGAGCCGGGCTGTTGACAGCAGGCTGAGACTGCGGGGACGATCACTGTCAGTACGCGAGTGAGCCAGAAGAGATGCCTGCGAGCAAGGTGTCAACAGGTATGATTGAATTACAGTTCATCCTGAAATATACAGGTAGATGTCCACATATTGTAATGCGTCCTTCACTGGAGCATGTTACTACTTTGTTTCATGGAATAAAGCAACTATCTGTATTTGTAAGATCTTAACCTGGTTAATTTTGGATCCAGCAGCCATCTGAAGAGCAACAGCAGCCTCCTCCTCTGCTACCATCATATCATCCAGGTGTGTGAGGGTTATGAGACGGCCCAGTATGGTCATTCTCACAGCTTCAGGCTGGAAGAAGGAAAACATTCTCGCTTTATGCTTCCTCATTGTGCCCTGTACTACATATTTAATTCGATTGATAACAGCACGCACCCTGTTCCAGGGGTTGTATCGGGTATCAAGCTTCAGCAGGGCGGGTGCGTGTTTTCTCAGCACAGCCGTATCCTCTCTGGCCTTGGTCAACTTGTTCCAGCGCACGTCGAGGTGTTTGAGCTGTCCCAACCCCCTCAGCCCTTCTAGGGCCACTAGGCGATTATAGCTAGCATCCAAAAATTCAAGGTTGGGCTGCAATTCAGGTAACAAAGACGATAGATGTTAAATGTTTCCACTTTATGCAATGGTCTAAAACTATCTGTATTATTTGCCAAACCACTATCAAATTTCATTCAATATTACAGAGGCAAGTTACTATTAAAATGCAGCTTTATTCTG